ATAAAATTCCCATTTAAAAACGAGACTCCGTGTCGACAAAATTAATTTGAATTCAAATATTAATAGAAGTATTTCAAGTACAAATATGCACCTGTCCACTGCAAATAAAGTTTAGGAAACAATCGAAAAAAGATCATAGCTGAGGGTAAGTAGCTACAAGGGAGTTACCAAAAATAGCATATATTAATGTTAATTAGCTTTTAAAAGGAAACTATGGAAGTCATACCATCCATGTAGTAGTAACTGCATCCATTGGCGTCCTGTCCAGCTTTTATAAGCACGTTCACGTCTTCTGGCAGTATGTCTTCAGAGTCATTGGGTTGATCGCTAAATCCAGGCTTGGCGGCATCTTCTGGTCTATGGCCAGACCGGCCGGGTGCAGCGGTGCTAGTAAATCCAGCAGAGGAGGCAAAAGTGAAATCCGGTTGCTCGTCATAAACCGACTCGATGAGATTTTCTAATAGTCTTGCCCTCGACGGCGCATCCAATTCTCCGACGAGACGACCATTGCGCGTATTTTGCACTGCGATGCGATAGGTCGTGCGTTTTTCGGCTACAAAGTAATCCAATGACTCGTCTACATTGCTTATGCACACTGAGGGGTCGCTGTGTCGCAGGAAACGGAGGATTCGAGCTACACAATCACACAGCGCAGTGGGATCGGGCTCGGTGATCACCTGTTGATAGAGATCCTTTGAACAGACAAATTGAATAGGAATAAGCAAGGCAATAATGAGAGAGTAGATGATTTTTCGGGAAGATGTATTTTTTTCAAATAACGAGTCCATAAGAAACAAAAAAAATTCTGAAGTACTCCGAAAAAGTTAAACATTAGATGTAGTGGAATTTGACAAAATCCTAACAAATTAATAGATCATATGACTGTCCATCTCAAGCTAGCTAAGGACAAAAAAGAAAGCTGTTCGAGTTAACACAGCAAGTAAAGTACGGTAAATAAATAAAAATTCAAAGACAAAATGCTGAATCAACAGACAAACAAAAGGGACTGAGTAGCGACAATAACAGGCAAATTCCGCTACATTATGACAGCTCTTAGCCAGTTTTTCTTCTATAAGCAGAACAAGTCGGCACCAGAAGGTTGAATTTATGGGATCTGTAACCTATTTATAGGACTACTGTTGTGAAAACAACGTATTGCATGAAATACCGATAACTAATCACCTAGTGGATTAGTGTGAGTTCAGACTATCGAACTACGTTAATGTGGCTACTATTTTAACAGCCGTCTTTTACTCTACAAGAAAAACCTTATAACAGGTGTTCTGGCAGATGCGCATGGTTAATTTTACGCCTCAGTGGGATTTGGAAAGGCGACAGCAAAGGTGCGTTCGGAGTACAGCCATGGCTATATCCACATAAGCTGTGAGGCCCCATTGGGAGACCTGGGTTTAATCTCGGATAACTTGACCCTGATTCGGTTAAATTCACGGTTCTCGGTGGGGCCTCGGAACTCAGGCGGCTAGGGTTTTGTTTTTACTCAAATCCCGACCATATTGTCGCGGGTTTAAATTTAACCAAGGTGTTCAAGTTTTTGGAAACAAAGTCATGTGAAAATTGTATAACATCAAACGAAGGGGGAGGGTGAGTATATTAACGTAATCTAGCATACCACATTCTTGGTCGGTTGGATTGCAAAAAAGATGTCTTCAGAAGTGTGAATTTGTGTAATAGCAGAAAGATTTGGTTAGGTTGGTAAAAGTAGGGTAAAAAGTGCAACCAGTGTTAGGCCTACTCTACCCAAAGAACGAAATGTCTACAATTGTGACTCGATAATTTTTCGTCGTAATAATAATAGTCAGTCTAAGACAAAGTCATGACTTTTACGAAAACATAACCGAAAGACTGAGTATGCACCATATGAAAGTGTACCAAACATGATATCTAGTAATAGGAAACGCGTAAAAATGCAGGAGGAATTTGCGACTCCAGTTTTAGATACTCTGTTTAATTGTAGGCAATGTCGTTTGCGCATCTGGTAAAATGTGATAAAACGTTAATTAAGGCTGATCACCGAAAGAGAACTTAATTCGCGAGCTGAGAAATGAACAAAGGAAGGAAATTTAC